CCAGTTGCTGTCTAACACATTGTGACATTGACACAATTAATTGCCACTTTCATAATAAGCAAGAACCTTGAAAACTGTCATATACTCACTTTTTATAGGTTGTAAACTGCAAATTTAAAAACTCTGACATTTCAATTTCAGGTCACCAAAATCTCTTTAGTCTTTTTATGGGATTACAAGTGCCCTTTGAGCTACAATCTTCATAAGAGTGAGTGCCCTTCTGAGCTAGAATCTTGAAAACTGGAATAACACATTCATTTTGGACCACCAATTGCAGAAAAATAAATCTAAAAATTGACATTTCTATCACAGGTCACCAAACTATTTCCCCCCCAAATATTAATTTCTTCTATAAAACTGTCGTGTTGGTAATGAAGCTGCCAAGTGTGCAGAAACTAAGATAAACTGAAGTCCAGAGTTCTGATTTTAGCTGAAAAAGAAAGCTTAAAAATCTTGAGAACAGCTGAGTAGAACTGCAGGTTTTTACAGCGATAGTTTTGTTAAGTAAAATGCTAGTCTGATCCGTACAACAGCATCTGTACTTCTTTCTATACCCAAGCTGATCTTTAAAAAAAGAAACATTTTTTCACTTTATATAGCTAACTAGGATAGTTAGTGTTTTCAAAATGCTAATTAAAATACAGAATTGTACAATAGTGGGGCTAGGTATCAACATTTGCATTGTCTGAGGTATTATAACTAATGATTCAGCACAGAATGTTCTGGAAATACTGATTTTACTTACCCCCTTCTGCTTTAAGGGGTGGCACTAATCATATCCCCTTGCATTCTTAGTCATGTTAATTCATGCAAAAACCCTTGGATTCTCAGCTACTTGTATTTGTTTCATTCCAATTGTTTACTAGAGGAAAATAAAGAAGCTAATTATGTTCATATGTGCCAAATTTTAGTAGTCAGAAAAAACTCATTAACTACTACACTCAAATTAGGGCATCATGTTTAAGAGGCACTCATGGGAACAAAATGACAGTTCAGTGCAATATTTTCTGCTTAGAGCCCAAAGCTCTAGGGTAGTGGTTCTCAAAATTTTTAGATACAAGGCACCCCTGGTAGACTCAAGGCACTGCTGGATATACTTGAAGCACTCCTAGGCAAATGCCAGCTCTTAGTTTTCACTTGTTTTTTAACTACAGAAAAATAATAGGGCAATTTTTTGGTAGCAACTCAGAAAGACCACAACAGGGCAGAATGTTTTTAACACTATGGATTCCTATTTGAAATCTCTGGGCTTATCATGTAAACCATGTTTACACAACTAACTATGCTAACATCCCGTGTCATGACACCCTGGTTGAGAATCACTGCTCTAGGGCATTGACTGACATTTTGGTGATGATAGTTTTAAACCCTCAAATATTCTACCTTTATTACAGCTCATTTGAGGATACCACAGGTTTATTTGAAATTTCTGACAAGTCTTCATTTTTTGTTGCTATAAATCTCTCTACAAGCACATACACACATTTTGTAGTATCAGGACCTATTCAGACATGGAAAATAGGATGTCCTGTTATATTCCGGATCACTCCCAGCTCCCGGCAAAATTACTGGCAATCAATCCCATAGCTAGTAAAATAGTTTGTGAAGATAGTAAAGGAAAGCAGATTACAAAATAAACCTTGTAATTTTTTTAGTAAGCAAAGAGCCTTACTAAGACTGTAGTCTTTGAATCTGATTGGAATGCCATTCTCTCTTAGAAAAAAGAAATGTCTTATAGTTTTCTTCTGCATTTTTTTTTTGACTACAGAAAGATAATAGAAGACTCCCATTTAATGATTTTATTAATAAAATAAGTGTTGCAGATAAAACCTTAGTTGCTCCATAATCTAATGATGTAACTTTATTTACAAAGCCAAAGTAAAATGAGTTGGCTAATGCTATTTTAAAGCTACTCAATAGTTTCCTGCTTTGTTAAAAGACAGTGAATTGTGTAAAATTATTCAAAGAGCACAAATAACTAACAAAGGAGTTCTTTGATTTTAGAGGGTAATGAATGACCATGGTCTCAACTATCACTTTAACTATTTAACATCAAATTATAGTAGAACAGTGGATTATGTTTTGTTTTTTAAGATTTCAACCACTAACATCCTACCTGACATCTGACATGCAGCCATATGCGCTTGCAACAGCTCAAATAGAAGCGGTGCAAATCTGAGTTGGGGCTTTTTGCTACACCACACGTGCCCGAATATGCACTTTGGTGTGGTGCAAGTTGTGCTACTTGGGGCAAAATGACCCTGCCTGATTCAATTTGGAGAAGATTCGGCCGAATTCAGGGAGCAAATCTCCAAATTCGAATCGAATTGGGAGACCAAGTAAAAGCTCTGAATTGATTAGAAGCACCTGAATCAATTTGGAAAAGCTTCAGGAAACATTTGGCTGATTCAAAGATTCAGCCATAGATGAAACAGGAAGCTGACTGCTGCCTCCAGCTGGTAAGTCTGTTGGGGTTGGAGGGAGGGAAGGGCTGTGGGGAAGTGAGGGATTGGGGCAGGGACAAGCTGCCCAGCTGAGGTGGGGGATGCATTACTCAGGAAGGGGGGTGGGGGGAGTGGGCTTTGCCATGCTGCCACTTGTCCAGTCAGGGCAGGGGGGGCAGGATGCAGGCGTGGCTCACTCCAGGCCTGCATCCCGTGCCCCCCATGCTGACAGACAAGCAGCGGCAGGGCAGAGCCCCCACTCCCAGCACTGATGTTGGTGCAGTAGCGCTGGGGCTTTGCCCTGGTGCCGCCCGGAGCAAGCCGTGCCTGCATCGTGTCCCCCCTCCCCCCGCATCAGTTGGGTAAGCAGCAGCAGGGCACAGTCCCTGCAGCTCCCCTGGCAAAGCAGAGGCAGGCACAGCAGAGGAGCCATGGGAGAAGCCCCCATGGCTACCCTTCCTGGCCCCATCCCCTGCTCAGCCCAGCCTCCTGGCACTTAAAAAAAACAAACAAAAAAACAAACAAACAAAAAAAAGCCCCGCATTCACTGGCTCTGGCAGCAGCGACTGGGGCCTCTAGGAGCTTGTGGCAGAGCCTGCCCCCCACAGTGTGGGGCAGCAGGGATTGCTCTCCCCCACTGGCACCTGAGTGGCAGCTGCCCCATGGCACAGGTGCAGCATTGCCCCCCCAGGCCCCCTGATGCCTGCCATGCCAGGCCCCACTCCCTGCTTGCACCCCCAGACCTCTCACTGTTTGCCCTGCTTGTCCCCACCCCCCACTTGCACCCCCCAAACTCCTGCTGGCTTCCCCACCCAGCCCCAGCTTGCATCCCCAACCCCCCAATGGCTGCCCCACCTGGGCCCAGCCTCCTGGAACTTAAAAAAAATAAAAATATAAAAAAAAGCCCCGTACTTACTGGTAGTAGCAGCAGCTGTCGGGGTCACTGGGGCCTCCTGGTCAGTAAGACCCTCTGAGCCTTCGCTTCTTCAGGCTGCCCCCCCGAGCTCCCATGATTGTTGCCCCGTCCGGCCCCCACATCCCGGCAATAAAAAAGACTTGCACTTACTGGCTGTAATAGCTGCCACCAGGGGTCACTGAGTTCTCATGGCAGAGCCCCCCGCACAGCACAGCACAGCACAGTGGGAGGCAGTGGGGACCAGCCCCAGCCACTTGGCACCTGCACTACCACTGCCCCATTGTGCAGGTGCAGCCCAGGTCAGCAGGGAACCATGCAGCTCTGCATGCTGTCAGGCAGCTGGAGTTGCTCAGAGTGAGCAGTGCCGGGCCCCAGGTGACAGCCGCACTGGCCTCAGCTGTCCGACACTTCATGGAGCCATGCAATGCCCTGTTGACCCCAGCCACACCCGCATGATGGGGCAGTTGCAGTAGGGGTGCCAGGCAGCTGAGGCCAGTCCCCTCTGCCCTGTGCCATGTAGGGGGTCTCTGCCATGAGACCCCAGTGAGTGTTGGGCTGTTGTTTTTGTTGGGTTTTTTTATTGCCCAGATGCTGGGGTTGGGCTGGGCAGGGCAGCAATCCGGGGGGCTTGGGGAGCAGGCATGAGATGGAGCTGGTGAATGTCCCCTCATGGTCCCTTCCCCGCTCCTCCAGACCCACCCCACCCCCTTACCGGCACAGAGCCTGGGTCCAGTTCCTTGTGGCTGGCACGCTGCCTGCTCTGCACAGGCAGGCAGTGTGCTTTAGCACTGGGGTGAGGGCCAACCATAGAGATGCCCTGGCTGGCTACCACAGCGTCTCTGTGGAGGACCCAAGCATCCACAGTTGCTTCAGGGCACAGTCCTGAACCGTTCCCTGCCTCACTTTTTTCCTCCGGGGTATTTTTGGACCCCTGGGATCTAATTTTGCCCCCGCACTGCAAATCTGCAGTGCAGGGACCTTTTTTTGTTCTTGCATGTGTCTCTTGCAGCATCTCAGAGGGCTTTGAGATGCTGCAAGAAACACGTGTGCTTGTCTGGACGCACCCAGTTTGTTGAGACAAAACTTTTGGCCATATCTGCCTACCTAGGAAGAATGACAAGTCTAAGACATTCATCATAGCTGTCTACCCCCTGCAGTTATATTTCTTATCTGCATTTAGTAATGCTTAGCGGCTCTGGCGTCATTGTCCTAGGCATTGTATGCATGTATAATTTAAAATGGTTCTTGGTGCACACAGCTGATTTGTTTAAATGTTCATTAGTTTCTTCAAGGGAAGTACTGCAATACCTGTTGCTATCTCTCATTATGCAGAGGCTGCTTCTTGAGCTCAAAGTCATGATTGTAATTTTCCATGTCATTTGTAGATGTACTGATTATAGAATCTACATATATGTCTTCTTTGTCATGGACTCATTACAATAATTAATCCAAATTTTCTCACTTTTTATAACCTGGTCAACTTTTCCTTATTAATCATATACACACAGTTATAGTTCTAAAATAAAGCCATGCTCTAATGATTAGTAGGAGATATCTGGGAGATATAAAAAGAATACTGAATGCAGTTTACCTTCTAAGAAGTGAAATACTTTGTATTAGCAAATCAGATGGTTACCTACCATTTTGTTCCCTCTGCACTCCAGCAGCAAGCAAATCAGGTTCCCCAAGACTTATATCATTAAGCCTTGTTCCTAGACACTCAATGCAAAGATGTTTGCACCACTCCTCTGCCTCCAGTTCTGAAAAGAATCATAAATAATGAAGACACTATTGGCAAGTATACAACATTTCATTCAAGAGAAGGCACAATGTAAAGTGTGTGTTTAACAGTCTAGATTTACAAATACATTAAAAACAGTAATTCTTACTCAAAAGAAAAAAACAAAATTCCAACATCTCTTGTTTTAAAAACCCTTAAAAAACCAAACCCTGAACAGTGCTTCCAAAATGTTTAGGAGTGGGTAAAAATTAATTGTAATGTGTTCATTTTGCTAAGTATCAATTCAGACAACCATAGACACATGCCATGTTTGCAGGTTGAAAAACAAAGCGAGGAAAAAAGCGGGATAAGACCACATGAATATAATTTCTTTTGAAAATAAATATTATTGTTGCTTTAAATTCATCTTGATAATTAAGAACATGGGGGGGGGGAGAGGGCAGGGCATTCTGCTAACAGTCCTTAGGCATTAATGTAAAAGATGCATAAAATTATTATAGAGTAAATCAATTTTACTCCATAGAAAATATGGAGCAGACACCTGGCATCCAGCTTTATACTGGTATAATTTACTCTATTCCAGAATAAAGTTACTCCTCAGGAATGGAGGACTATATACCAGTTAAGTTACACAGATATGCTATTTGTGTATCCATGCCCTTAGCAACTGCCTCATCTCTTTGCTTAATGCAAATCAGTTTTCATACCATCTATTTACTAGAAACCGTAATAGCCCCTTTTGCCGACTGTGAAGTTTAGAGAGCTGATAATGTACTTGTTTCTTATTATGGAATGAAGTTATTATGAACTAAAAATTACTCCACGATAAGAGTGCAGACACGCAATACAATGAGACAGTGTAAGATCCTCAACTATGGGTCCTTACTTCCTCATTGACTGATTGGGTCTCTTTGCTAATATATGGCACTACGTAAGGACTCTCATTTTTCCTAAAACAATGCTTATGGTTGTCTAAATACAAACATCCTCACACTATTGACCTGCACCTGCAATCATAAATTCAAGAATAGGTGACTGCTACACATTTAGCAATACATTAATTAACAATATAAGTAAGAAAAATAAGAAAATGTAAAATCAATACTATGGTTATGAATGCAGCTCAATACATTCAAAGGAAGACTTTTAAGGAAAGTAACGAGGAGATTTTTCATCGCGTGATTCTTACGGCTAGATTCCCAGCTCTTGGTGGGGGAGGGGTAGGGAGAATCACCATTCAACTGAAGCAAACACCAATTTTTGGGGTATGCCTCTCTCTCCATCTTTTTTTAAAATCAATAATAGATATTTGTAAACAGATTTCAGGGTCTTTGGATCTGTGGGTTAGGTTTGGGCCTGTCTCCAGCTGCAACCCCTTGCAGTGATCCAATTCAGGTGCAGATCCAGAGGGAGTGCAGTAGTGTGGTCGCATCTGGTTTGCACCATGCTTTGTAAGTCTGTGAAGTGGATATAAATCTCCTGTTCTTGGCACCTCCTCCCTCCACCTCCATATTCAGTGGCACCTCCCCTCCCATCTCATTCCCTGCTCCTCCTTCCCTGCCTGCTGCTCCCGCTGTTCCCAGCTGACCTGGGGACAGGGGAGTTTCAGAACTGTTCCTGCCTCACTCCAGTTGGACTGTGCAGGGAGATAGTCTCAGATGGGCAAAAAGCAGTGGTAGCAGTGGGTGGGTTCCCCCTCCCTTCCCAGTCCCCCCAGGAGTTCTCCACTAGCCCAGGAGCAGGCACAGAAAGGGGGAACCCTCACATCACCACAGCTGGTCCACATAGCCCGTGCTAGACTAGGGCACAGGATAATGTGTTTTACAGGCTTAGAATATTGTGCACTTCATTTTACACTAGCCAGTAGGAGAGCTCAGTGGCGATGCGAAGGGGCTGCACAGAGATGCACACGCAACTCCTGAGAGCACCAGTGCACCCCATGACAGGCCACGGTCACTGCTTAGGTGACAGGAGGGGTGGGGGGGTAGGCAGGAGCACTGGTGCCCCCACTGTGAGCGCTGGCTGGGGAGTGGGAGCGCCCCCCCCATTGTTGAGACTGGCCACAGGGGGACCTCCGCTGGTCTGGGGTGGGGGGGAGGGGGGCTGTTCCCCTTGGCTAAGGTGGCACCAGTCGCCCATGGGAGAGCTGCTGAAAAGAAACCAAGAAAGAACTAAGAGGAGGGAAAAAACAAAAACCAAGCAAAAAACCCCAAAATAAACTAAAGAAACTAACTCTACCAACCCTTCAAGCTATCACTGGGCATCTACTTAAGTCACGCCAGCTGCCAATGATTTTCAGGTGACCATCGCACTGAAGGCTGCTGATTTCAGGCACTTTTCACACCAGTGGTGACCATTTTGTTTTTGTTCCCCCTCATGGCACTTGCTGGGTTTTTCCCACCCCCGTAGCTATGGGCATGTTCAGTGCCCAAAAACAGCTGCTGAAAAAGAAAAAAAAAAAAATCCTGCTGTAGTGGGAGCTGGTAGGGGCAGGGCTGTGGGACCGGCAAGTGGTATAGAACAAGTGTCAAGCTCCTGATTCTGACCCCCCGCCCCGGTCAGCTCCCACCACTCCACACACTTCACATGATCTATGGCAGAAATAGGCTTTGCTTTGTGGACTGTCTTCCCACTTATCCTGATCTTAAGCACTGTAGTCAGCCTTACTGGGCTGCATGCACTGTCTCTTTAAACCCTGCTGGTCTCCCATGCTGCCTGGCTCGGACACCCTGTACTTTCCCCAGAGCCCCTGAGCTGCAGGGGAAAGTTTCCTGCGATTTCCTTTACTCCCTGTTTGCTACTGCTTGCTTCCATTAAGTGTCGTCCCCCCCTGGCAACATTGTGCTAATTTCAGGCAGAATGGGCATTTTCCTGCTCTTCAGGGAAACTGAAGGATTTCCTGCTTTACCTGAAAAATGCAAAACACGATTTAAATAGATCCCTAGCTATCACACAAGAAGACAAGCAAAGAAACATTAAAATATTACAGAGAGTCCAGGGCCATGAAAAAATCCCAGTCAGAAGAGAAATATTTATTTTAATATACGTAAGAATCTAAGTCAGCATAATTTTAGCGGCAAAAGTGATACATTCTAAATATGCATCGTCAATACTGAAAATGTACTTCAGTATTTTAAAATGGGAACCTTTTGGAAAATAAAAACAAATGGAAATATTAGCATCATTAATTTTAAAACTTATGCTTTTTACATTTATTATAAATAAAAAAAATCTTTCTTCAACTGAAAACAGGATAAACGTTCTTGGTGAAACCACTGTATGATTTATCAGCCTATTTCACAAAATATATGGTTATTCATTTCCTAGTGGGTGAATAATCTGTATTTACTTATTGCAATAATTTAACAATGAATTATTGAGAACAATTTAATGCCACAAAATATTTCCATAACCAAATGTCCTACAGTATTCTTGGACTGTGTATGCTATGTCAGAAGCATTGGGATCATCTGCTTAGCTGCTGATGAAAGTTAGAGCACAAAGGGAAATTATGGAGATACTTCATCTTTCTCTTCTTAGTAGCTACTTTTGGGTATTTTTTGGGGACTTTTTCCTTGACATACTCCTGAAACATCTTTTTATGACTGGCGACACTCACTCTTTATCCACATATTCTGTTTCACTGCACGAATGTGCAAAGAGTTGTACATCTGGGGAATACCATACTAGCAGCATTTAATCTAGAATACTTGGAATTTTTGGAACTCTTTGAACTACTAAGAAAGGTCTTCTTCAAGAGCCATCAATTACCAGGCCATAACTGCTCAGGCATTGTTGCTATGTCATAAGCATATGGAAATACTGAAGTAGCTGAAATGTTACAGTAATCCAAAACTGCTTCCACAGAAATTCCATTAACTTATTTGAATCTGGGTTAAATTCAGTGTATTAACTGTTGGTAAAGTCTGACTTTTAGTCATCCATATCATCACTGCAGCAACTATCCATCTTCGAAATCAGCCAAGGTTCTCATTTGATCAGTATACTGGAAAGTATATTTTAGGCAACTGTAAAAATCCTTAAAACACATCTTCAACTCCTGTATTATTTAGGTATTCTGCACTGCTACAGAAATGTCAAGAGGTAAGATCAAATGTAAAAAGACAGGTAACCCCAATTTGGTGCTGCTTCTTGCATAAGAAATGTCACTAGCAGTTGTCTGCAGTCTATTAATCTGAATGCACAATCTTGTTTGTGGCAAGATTCCTAGGCAGGTTCCCTGAGTTTCCAGGTCATTGCCTGAAAAAATATGTCATTTCTCCTTCTGCTCAGAGGTAGACTAGTACATTGGTTGCTGCAGTCACAGAAGGCAAATTTTGTCGGTCTCTCTCTGTGCTTGTCTAGACTTAAAAGGTTTTGCTGGTATAGATTTCATAGACATTAGGGCTGGAAGGAACCTCACAAGATCATCGAGTCCAGTCCCCCACCCAAGGGGCAGGAAGTCTGCTGGGGTCAAATGATCCCAGCAAGATAAGCATCCAAGTGGGTCTTAAAGGTGCCCAAAATAGGTGTCTGCACCACTTCTGGGGGGAGTCTATTTCAGACTCTGGGGGCTTGGACAGTAAAGAAGTTTTTTCTCATGTCCAGCCTAAAGTGGTCTTCCCGAAGTTTGTGACTGTTAAACCTTGTCTTCCGTTGGGGTGCCCTGGTCTTCCCACTTCCTGGTGTACACACCTTATATACTTGTAGGCTTCCACCAAGTCCTCCCTGAGCCTTCACTTCTCCAGGCTGCAGAGTCCCATGCCTCTCCTCATAAGACTTGTTCTCTTGCCCTCTGATTGTATCTGTGGCTCTCCTCTGGACTCTCTCAAACTTCTCTACATCCTTCATAAATTGTGAAGCCCAGAACTGGATGCAGTACTCCACCCATGGCCTCATAGTGGGAGGATGACTTCCTGGGTCTTGCTTGAGATGCATCGATAGATGCAAGCCAGGTTTTTGTCTGTTTTGCCAGCTGCAGCATTGGTGGCTCATGTTCATCTTGTGGTCAATCATGAC